GGAACACAATAATAACTCAGTTTAATAAAGTACATTCAACTATCAAATTCACGTATGAAGAGGAATCTCAAAATAGAATTAATTACCTTTCTAGATGTCCTGCCTACAAGTAAACCAGATGGTAATATAAAGAGAAATTTGTATAAGAAAAGTACATCGACAGGACAATATACACATTTCCATAACTCCGTTCCTCTCCAGTACAAGAGAAATCTAGTTAGGGCCCTCAGCCACAGGGTCAGAGCTATATGCTCAGAATACGTAATTGAACATGAACTTAGGATTCTACATGACACCCTAATCGAAAATAACTATCCAGACAAGTTCATCAAGAAACACATGACCGAAAAGCCTTTATGTATACGACTGCAGTTTAAGGGTGACGCATCTAGTCAAGTAATTGCTAACAAGTTGAGAAAATCCATTCAAAGAACTTTTAATGCTGGTAAACTACAAGTCATATTGTCTACACAACCGGCTGTGATTCCTCGATTGAAAGATAAAGTACCTAGACTAGACTAGCTACCTCTTCTTGTATCTACCAATTCAACTGAACTTGTGGAGCGAGTTATATTGGTAGTTGCTCTCTCGTGAACATCTACCAGTGCGGCTAAATAAAGGTGTAGTAAAAACCATCAACAGTTCGATATTACATAACGTGGTTCAAACTGGCCACAAAGCCGGCATTCAAGAACCCTTCTCCTTCATATCGGGTACCCAGTAAATTTCCGAAAACATCCAGGTACCAAATACTCCAAACAGCAGCGGCTGCTGCAATTCGCCTAAAACAACCGGTGCTCTGTGTACAGAAGAAACACGTCCCGGCCTGCTCTGGAGTTTGCAAATTCTGAAATGCCTTATCATACTACCCTCCATCCTAAACATATAAATTCCCCTACTCCTTGTCATTACACTTACATTAACTAACCTTTTGTTTTCTTATTTAAACGTAGTTAGTAACTTACACACTGACACACATACAACGCACATAAAATTCAACCCCCCAAAATGTTTTCTCTCCTTCCGACCTTGACATGATCATTCATCCATCTGAAGTTTATAATCTATATTGATAAAACTTAATATGAATATGACTCATAGGAATTTATTACCATACATTCGTTGTCATTCATAAACATTACAATTTTACACATTACCACATACATATATAATTTGACCTATAAACAATCAAATCGTAAATAACTTTTGGAATTCTGATCTAAATGAATTGAAGTTACATTTTAAAAACCACTAATGTTGTCAATAACAATCATTCCTTCATTATTATGTATATATAACTATAGAACCTGATGATGAAATCATCGAAAAGAACATTCTTTGTTCAGTAATCAATCTTCCGAAATTTTGAATAGGCATCTTTGATGAATAACATAACATATCCCACTATGGCTAAGTAAAGGTGTAGTTAAAACTATTAACAGCTCGATATTAGACCATCTGGTGCAAACCGGCCACAAAGCCAGCGTAGAAGAATCCTTCTCTATAATATACCGGGTGCCTAACAAATTACCAAAATCGTCGAAGCACCGCATGCTCCAAACAGCAGAGGATATTGCAATTCGCCTCAAACAACCAGTGCTCTGTGTTCAAAAGAAACAAGTCCAGCTCCTACTACTGCCCTGGCCCTCAGTAGAAACTATATACTCATGAATTTGTAATATTATCTTTCCTAATTCTTCTGACATTCAGCTTACTTTATGTTGATGCTATTCAGCTGTAATCTATCAATATTATTGATTTGATGTTATTTAAACATTAATGTCGTTCATAAGACTAATTCGTTCATTCATTATAATGTATATATAATTGTAGAACCTGATGATGAATTTATCGAAAAGAGTATTCTTTGTTCAGTATCCTTTTGATAATAACAATAATAAAAACTGTGTAATATTTGACAGATAAGTGTTCCTGCTTCGATCACGAACGAACTTCAGTCAGAAAATCACTGATAAACCAGTGGGAAGTACTGGACAGGTATTTCGTGCTAGTTCTGGACTTTTCCGAAGTATACACCCACGACCTTCACAACTTACGTGATGATCTCGTTGACCATTGAGCCAATAGGATTGAATCCAACAATGGCGTATCAATTCTACTCGCCGACAACATTAGCTGGTGGTTGCGGTATATCACGAATTGGCAGAGAATTTAGAATCGATGCATCTTTGGATTCCATCCCAGTGGCAGAATGATCAAAGAGCTCGCCTAGTAACCTGAATCTCCTGGGTTCGATTCCTGGAGGCAGGATCACGGACGTGTGCTGAAGAAGCGTTAGTTAGTTATCTGAGTGATGATATCAGTCAGTAATTGAACTTAAAATAATCATAGAGTCTGTACTGCTGCTGACATAATGCAGAGTCTTCTGAACACCTTGAGCTGCGATCTTCGAATGTTGACATGCGATTCGCTCACTCTGTCAAATGTATGATGATGCTACAGGACTGGACTGGACTACATTGACTCCTAGCTTAGAAATACGGAGTGAAGTGGTCGGTGGGTGGCGCGTGTTGACCACTTCACTTAGTTGGGAAATTGCATCAGCCAAACCCACAAACTTCATCGCTAACGAATTCTCAACACGGGTACAGAAGGCTCGTTTGACATAAGCCAGTTTACGCCATCTCTGGCTTAATAGACGTGATATCCGACTGATTATCGACCAAAGGGCGTGTGTACTGCTCAGGAGTCCACTCCGTCCTCCTTTATGACTGTTAGTGAGACCTGGCCATTGAGAGTGGAAGACATGAAAAGGCTGGCTAGCTGTCTTTGATCATATGTGTCTGCATTCTATTTCCTATGTTGAGTGGCAGGATAACAGAGTGAGCAATATTGAGGTTAGGTTTTGGTTGAGTGCTAGATAAGGAGGCGAAATCAATAAACGAGGCTGTGAAGTTACATCTATCGAGATGGTTAAGACATGGGTTACGTGTGCCTAGCAATCCATCGCCTTCCTCGATCGACAGTCAAGGTTAGCTGACATAGGATGGATGAGATTGGAAAAGAGCTAGCACATGGTGGTCAAACGAAAACATGGCTTCATCAGTCAATGGAATCCATAACAGTTAGTTTAAGCCAGCCAGCCAAGTTGTGGACTTCCTAACTAACTGACTGGTTGACGTCCTCGGGATGGTGAGAACGAATGAAGGCTGGATACAATCGGTGATATGGCACAAAATCGTTCTCAGTGATGGCTCAGATGCATCCACTCCTTCTGACTTATAATATCCAATAAAAAACTAAATGGTTCTTCCATATTACTATTCTTTTTGCTCCACATCTCTGTTTACTGTCTTTATTTTGCGTTTCTCTGCGTTTTCTTCTCTTGCTGTGTGATAAATGGAGAGAGAGTGGCGACTCAAACTGCTGTACGTCGGTGCAAATTTCTACGTTGAAACCAGTCAGTCTGTAGCTTTGTGACATAGACCTAGTTGAACTACGCACCACTCTTTAGCAACTGCACTGACCATTACTTTATTAGATGTAAGAGAAAAGTGACAAACACTCTAGAAACAATATATATCAATATGAGCTGGCCATTTTAACGAGATGAGAGAACATCGAAAGTGGAAAATATACATCACATTTCTTATTGAAGCCGAATGTATGAATGACTGTGTCATTTAATCAAAACAAGAAAACTCTCTCTCTAACTAATCCCTATGCTTTGTGCTTAAAAGCAATTTGATTCGTTACTTTTAATCTTATGCGTGTTGATTGCATACAATTGTAGTAGTCCATTGGCTTTAACAACCTATCTTCTTCTTATGAAGCTTTCGGCATTCAAACCTGACACAGTCAAAATTATGCGGATGAAGATGTCAACACCAGCCGGAATTGGAAAGGCAAGATACGTCGTCATCAACCTGAAACCAGTTTGGAAATCTTCTGTACTCAGCATAAAGAACATGATTCGCATCTTCAACACCAATGTCAAGTCGGTTCTTCTATACGGGTCAGAAACTTGGCGTGTTACAAAAAGGATTCCCAACAGACTACTGTAGACTTTTATCAACAGCTGCCTTTGCTCCATACTGAAGATCAAATGACCAGAAAGAATTAGTGACAAGAAACTGTGGGAACAAACCAACAAGCAAGAACCGATTGCTCAATAAATATGTAAAAGAAAATGGAGATGGAGTAGGCATACGTTGAGAAGGCAGTCGAATGACATCGCGCTCAATGCAGGCCATTGCTCAAGTGGAATCCTAGTGGGAAGCGACAAGTGGGTTATCGGTGTGAGGGTGACATGGAGGAGATCGCGTGGCGAGTTGTAGGAGAAGAGAGATTATGGTCAATCGTGGACACAGCTGAAGAGGATGACAGAAAAAAGAAGAAAGTGGAGATTTTTCTGAAGCCCTATGTTCCACTCAGAATCCGAAGGAATAATAAATAAATAAACTCCATAGAATCGTAATCAAAATCGTTGTCAATGGCGCAGATGTATTCAGTCTCTTTAACCTTCATATTCCTTTCTACCATTACTCATTCTCTTTCACTCTTATACTTATCTAAATTCTATTGATTCTCTTCTCTCATTTTCCTGTCTACCTTTGTGTGCTCTTTGGAACGTGGCAACTCGAACTGCTGCACTTCGGTGCGAAGTTCTATGTTGAATCCACCAGCAGCCAGCAGCATAGAATCGTAAACAACCTTCACCATTAAGTTCTGCTTAGAGATCTCCATACATAAGGCGTGTATTTAGGAATTCCACTGCATAAGTAGCCCGAAATTGACCACTAAGAGAGCTTATATTTATCTAGTCATCGGTACAGTTTGTTAGACGCTGAATATCACATCATATGATCTACACAAACGTTATTTGACACCATAGCTTTAACAAAAGTGACTGGATCACTTTACCGACTGTAACATATTACCAAATATCAGCAGTTGCATGTATATATATATATATATATATATACTGCTAACAATACTAGTAATATATATTCGATGAAAAAGACAAAATGAACACTTACAACGAATATTCTGTATACATCCATGCGTGTAAGCGATGATGATGCCCAACAGAGATCAAGATCAGATAGTGAAGAGTTCTTTGAATTGTTTAAAGAACTAAAAATATACAGAAAACATGTTAATTTGGTTACAAAAATCATGCATAATGTTTTAATTCGTAATAATCATAATACATAAAGTGCGTCGGTGGTACAACGGTAGAATGCTGGTCCGGGGTTCGATCCCCGGCCACTGGACGCACTCCTTTACCTCGTTAAACCAGTAATAAGACTGGTAAAGAGGGAAGATTGGGCATGAGGTTAGCGAACCCATATCCCGTAAAAATAAACAAGCACCACTGCTACCGAAACTTCAAACCTCTCTAGCTTGAAGCCCTATGTTCCACTGGGAACGTAAAGGAATAAAATAAATATTATAATAATAACAATATATGAAATCACTTCTAACTATTCAATTCCTCATTTAATTTGTTTTATAATTTAAATTTTTAGACAACTTTACACTATTATTAACGCCAGTAGAGAGTACACATACTTTTCCAGAGTTGATAAGAAGTAGTGATTAAAGGAAACATGGGGTAATCAATCGGGAGTAATTTAATAAAGCAAAAGAATTGACATAACTAGCTAACTAACAAGGATGGTTAGGTAAAAATGAACGTTCTTGAAAGGGGGGAGGATAATTATCTTTATCAGTAATAAGAGATAAATAAGATCAATTTAGTTATCTTTTGCATTAGCTGGTTGACAAAATTTTATGCTTGTAAGTGAACAGCAAGCATGTTTGGCGAAAACATTATGCACACATGCATAACAAAACTAGCATATAAAGAGTTGAAATATCTTTAATAGATTCTTGATCTCATTGTCATATTAATCAATCTAGAAATAGAACATACCACATTTTCAGACAAAGTAATTTTTGAAGCATATATCCTTCTTATAAAAATTAACAACCAATGCAATAAATAGTAAGTTAAACCAAGCGACAGAAATACAGTAAGTTGATATTGACAACTACACACACACACACACACACGGCACCATTTCAGATACAGGTGGCACGGATGAGGACATAAATGGTAAGTTTGTGAAAGCGAAATAGGTCTTCATTAATGTGAAAAATCAGTGTGCAAATCTGCTACACTTAGCATAAGCAAGAAGACTCCCATTTTCAACACTACTGTCAAATCAGTTGGTGCTGCCTTATCGCGTCAACAAAATAATTTCCAACAAGCTGTGAAGAACTTCGATCAATACCTAGCGTCGCTGGTTCCATATTGAAGATTGGGGAACTAGATAGGTTTAGCAACAAAGAACTTTGCCAAAGAACCAACCAAGAACCTACTGCCCAACTAATATGAAGAAGCAAATGCGGATGGATTATTTGTGCTCTGAGAAGACCGTTAAGTGACCTAATGTGTCAGGCTATCGCTCCAGTGGAACTGGAATGGAAAGTGACGAGTTGGCTGACATGATGAATATCGTACGAGAGGGAAATGAAAGTTTAATGTATATGTGTAGAACATGGGCATTGTGGTAGATATGTATCACACACTGAAACAGTATTATTTACTGAATGAAGTTTCAAACACAATTTGTTGTTCATAATCAAGTCAATTATAAACACACGACTTCGAAACTTGAGTTTTATAGTTTTCTTCGTTCTCTTCTATTTGTCGTCACTGGCTTAGTAGAATTTTCCAGGTGTGCGTCTGGGACAGGTATTGAATCATTCCTATTACACGTATTCGCAGTTGATTCGATAAACAAAGCTTCTGTTACCAATCTCTCCCTCCACCCTGTGACATAAAAACCTAGCAAAATCTAGATTAGTTGATCCCAATGATAAGATAGGAAATCTAGAGAATGGTTCAGCTATTGTACTCACCACATGCAATTACACACAACCACACCAATAGGCTAGATGGGATAAGATGACAGTTTTAAAATCTAATGCAGCGGCAGGGTGGAGGGAGAGACTGATAACGGAAGCTTTGTTTATCGAATCAACTGCAAATTGCAAATACATGTAATAGGAATGATTCAACACCTGTCCACCCAGATATCTGGAAAATTCTACTACCCAAACGACGACGAATAGGAGAGAACAAAAAAATCTATAAAAAACTCAAGTTTCGAAGTCGTGTGATTATAATTCAAGATTTGATTATGCACAATAATAAATTTTGTTCGAAACTGTGCCATCCAGCAAATAATACTGTTTCACTATGTGATATATCAAATAAACAAACTAATATGAAATGAAAGTTTGTGGATAGTCGTAAAGGTAGTTAAAAAGACTTCAGGGAAGAGACTGAAATGGAGATGTAGAGGCAGAAATCCTGTAACCTACCCACTGGGAAAACAAGGGAATTATAAATAATAGTCGAGTGCTATTCACAGCAGACTCGAATTTACCTCAGTTAAAGTGAACCGATCAAACGCTAGTCTTAGCAGGGGCAGTTGAAACACACAAGGAAATATTAATCGGCTCAATAATCAATCAAGATCCTCCGAAGTTTGAATTTTATTCACACTATCCATTCGCCAGTAATCATCTGATTAATCGGAGAATAATTTAACACTATGTATGCGGGAGTGTATTTCTGATGTTTGATTTAATATCATGTTTGTAATAGTTTAAAAGAATGGATTTTAATGATGAATCATTGTTGTGCATGTGATATGTGTCATTTTAATTACTTATCTATTTTCAAAAAAAAAAACAAATTTTAATGTCACTTAGACAAACCACCAAGAAATGTATCAGCGTGAAATGTCATTCAAATCATGATAAACGGTAGTCAGATATGTCACACATTATCATTAATCAGTGGACAGGAAAAAAGTAGTGAAACTGCAAGTCTAACCATAATTTTATCGTGGTATATACTACTGATTCATCTATTTCAGTAGTTGGATGCCACCCAAATCAATCAACAGTCGTGCTTTCTAATCTGCCAGGTCCAACTGATTTAAATGTCAGATGGCATTTTTCGCTTCTTTACGGCATGAGATACCTCTAAGCTTGCTTTCTAGATTACAATTTATGGTGCCAAATAGATCACATATTGTAATTTGATGGAAACCTTTCAAAGAAATTACTGGCAGGAAGCAGATAAACAGTATTCCTTGTTCCTTTGATGTATGTACTCGAAACTAGCCTATCATATATTCTCCCACAAATGCTACGCTTTCTAGGGTCACAAGTGTTAATGAAAGCTGCTTTCCTGATTTCAACACAAACGACATCGCTGAACCCTTCTTGTAGCCAAGGACCAGATGGTTTGACTAGCCTTATTCTTAAAAAATGTGCTAATAACTTATGTTATCCTCTCATTGACATATTTAATGAATCTTTTTCCAGAAATGTCATGCCAGCCGTCTGGAAAGACATTAAAATTGTCCCTATACCTAAGTTACCTACCCGAACGTGTGTCAGATTTAGACCTATTGCTATAACCTCTCATTTTTTGAAAACAAATGGGAAAGTTACTTTTACTTAATCTTGAACCTTCACTTAAAGCCTGTGATGATTCCAAACAATTTGCTTACAAACATAGCAGAACTACTTTAGATGCAGCTGCTGCCGTCTTTCAACATAACATCCTTTCTAATTTAGACAAAGGGGCTGGCGTTCCTCAAGGTGCTTTTATTCCCTCTGTTCTGCTTCCTTTCTTCTTGCATGACTTGCCTCACTCTGATGAAATGAATTTCGTGCTGACGATCTGACTGTTTCAAGGCCTGTTAACTCTCAGTTAGACTGTACCAAGATGAACAGATTTCTATCAGTAGTCAGAAAATAGTCTCTGTCCAATGACCTTAAACTAAATCCTTCCGAATGTCGGACTGTTAATTTCAGTTTCCGTTGTAAAACAAAGCTAAATGAAGCTGTTAGTTCCTATAACCGTTGTTAAGTTGATGATATTGATACAGAAATCAATTCTGAAGTTAAGTATCTCGGACTAATTCTTTCTTGTGACCTATCCTGGTCTTTCCACGTCTTAGCAACTTCTAAAAATATATTCCTTCTGACTTTTCAAACTAAGAATTTAAGGCACTCAGGGATAACTCAACCCCTCCTTTTACAGTTTGTCAACTCTTGCATCTTACGTATTCTTCTTTACTGTTCACCCTTATTCTTTCCTGGGTTGCCTAAAAAAAGGTTGTCATACTTCGTAGAACTCTGAAGACTGTCAGTAGAGCTAGTGGTATGTTATGCCATTGGGCCATATCGTTGACATCGTCATTGACAGACAGACACCACTAGTTGCCACCACTTCAGATAAAAACTCGCCGTAAGCTCTCACCTGGCTGCATGAGTGCTAACCTCTAAAAAATTACCACAGTGTAATCTAAAAGCTAGAATAATTTCAACTTAATGCAACTAGAAAAACTAATTAATAACAGACTGGAACTCTACACCCTCATGGAGTCTCCTCAGTAAGAACACCACCACTTATTGGGAGTGCAAGTACAGTCAGGTGATAGGACCCAAATAAGATGAAACGTGAATCATGAACTGAGTTTCAACACAGAAGATTGCACAGAAATACACTAGTTCTAGTTGGCACACTCCATATAGGACACAAAGGAAGACAAAGACAACAAAACAAGCAAATAAGCAAAAATGTAAGGCAGAAAGAATAGTAACATGAAAGAGCATGAGGGTTTAATGGATATCGAAGAGCACAAAAGGTGAATGCATCGTCATCATCACTGAGAACTATTTTGAATTAGTTCATCACTAGGCTGGAACCACTGGTTCTTAGAATCCTGAGGACCGCAACCAGCCATGTGGTTGGCTGGAACCACCTGTCAAATACTTCAAGGATTGATGGCAGGTCTTGATTTGACCGCCCCCTAACTCTTTCCCAACCTATTCTAATGTCAGCTAACATTGCTCGTCAAGGAAGTTGGTTGTTCAGCATGCGCAATATGGTGTCTAAGTCATCTCAATCGATGTAGCTTCACAAACTCAACAATTGACTTACTCTCTTTACCTAGCACTCTATGTTTAACCCCAATATTACTCAGAACGGGAGACAGAAGGCAGTCACCTATGATCAAAGACATCTCCACTTCGCATGTCTCCCATTTTCAATAACCATGTTTCACAGTCATAAAGGAGGACAGAGCGAAATGGTAAGCAGTACATACGCCCTTTGATCGATAGCCAACCGGATATCACGTCTTAGCCAGACGTGACGTAAGTCGGCGAATGCCACACAAACCTCTTGCATACGCGCTGAAATTTCATCAACAATCAGTTCATTTGGGCTGGTGAGATTTCCGGATAACTGAATTGGTCAACACGCTCTACCAATTCATTCCATATTTTTAGAATAGAATTTTACTGCTAGTTAACATCAACCAAAGTAACATCATGCTATTTCTAGACATCGTTGAAGCATTCATACTAGGAGCCGATATATCAGCAGAGACCAAGAATATCGGTGCAAAATAATCAATCAACGGAAAATGAAAAAATAGTAGTTAATATCCATGAAAATAGGGTAAACGTAATCATTATTCAGAAACTTCCACTGAAAGAAGTGTAACTACTACAAAGCATACAGATAAACTGAGTGTTTGACTTTCTTATTGTTCTAGCGTAGATGTGATACCCAACTATCGATCAAAGAACCACTAAAAGTAGGAGATGTGAAAGACTGCCTTTGATCATAGTTGCCTGTGTTCTGTCAGCCGTGATAGGTGGTATAATATGACGAGTAATACTGATGTTAGGCGTCGAGTTTTAGATGAGGATAGGAAAACCAACTGATGAGCTTTTAAAGCCACATTGATTGAGATGGCTAGGACACATGTTGTATATGCCAAGCCATCGTCTTCCTCGTCAACACAGGATTAAATTGAAAGCTAAGGTTGGTCAAACCAAAACCTGGCATTAGTCCATAAGATTTCTGACAGTTGGTTTGAGCCAGTCACATAGAGAGGTGTAGGCTGCCCAGTTAGGGTCCGCGAGGCGCCAACAACCAATGGCTTTGAGACTATTATTGGTGATATGGCTCGAAATCGTTCACAATGGCGAAGACGTAATTACTCCATTTTCCTACGTTATTATTCTATCGCTCTCGCATTTCTTTTTATAATACTAATTTTGAATCCCTTCTTTCTCCCTTTTGCTTTGCTTTTTGTGCTATATGGAATATGAGAACTTGAAATGACTCAGTAAACTTTTTGTCAATATTTAACGTAGGATAATATCGAATGTAAGACGAGTTATTACAATCTATGTGAAACTTTTACTGCTACAGTAGACATTTGAATTTAAATACATCACCCACGTAATGATACCAAACTAAGATTACTTATTTGTCTCTAATTGTAAAACAATAATGGTAGGTCGAAGATATCTAAGAAGCAATTAAGTCAGACAAATAAGTGCCGCATACGATAGTAAAGCTTTTCATCTTCCCACCAACCCCTCTCAAAGAAATGCAGCCAAGAAAGTGGTAAATGAACACAACAGGTGTAATGCTTCTACACTTCTGCTTAGGATTGTGTTTTCAGGCAGCAAGCTGCTCATTCATACAAAATATTACCACACCCGTGTTTATCACAGGTAGTTCCATTACTTTTCTCTATTTGTATATACTTTGCCAAAGTGCAAAGACCTGAACTATCACACAATTGTGCGAATATGTAAACTGACATTTCCTCAGTTAATGTTATAATAGTGAGTGGTGTAGTAATCTTATTGCTTCTTGCCGTCACATTATTAAAATTTCCTCTTTGATATCACAAATTTGTTGAGCAGAGTGCAAAATCCTTTGCGATACTCAAAGCAGCGACAAATGATGTTGATTTGCAATCCCACTTTATTCAAACTAATGATAAGATGGTGACTTGGATTAAATGTTTAGTTTAACCATGTTTCTATGATATTCATAAGACCTGGTTACAAATAATATCATATTAAGAGTGTAACAATTTTCAATAAGGAATTAGCATGACTCACAATAACAGATGAGCTAAAGAGACACGGGAATTTTTAACATTCGTACATCTACAGGTCATTTGTTTAGAGTACACCTGTCATAAATGTCTCGTAAAGCTCGCTTAAGAGACAGATTTCACCACGTAAACACACTGCTGGCTAAGTGCTGAAAAACATCGAATATTTTTCTTCTAACTTTTAAAGAAGGACAGACAGATCGACATAAATTTTAGCAAAGCCATAACTGAAATAATAAGCAAGGTAAAAAAAAGTAATAAAAGAACAATGTAACGAGAAACTACGATGGAAATATCAGTGGTGACGTTCAAACTTTCTATGATACTGAATCCATATGCGCTGTTATGCTTGACTGTGAGTCATTAACTCCTGGTACTTTGACGATTCTGTCCAAGTAAACTACATTGTCACTTATGATTCCGGATTATGTTTTAGGACTACATGGATAAGTAGTAAATAAAAAAACGAACTGTTTTGCATTTCGACCAGTAGTTAAACAGTTAATGTCTACAAAATTGACATGATACAGAATATACTAAGTTGGAAATAAGTTTGAAACAGACAAAAACAAATTACGCTACATAATCGTCTTTGTGAAGCTCTTATTGTTCAGTAGAAAATTCCTTAAGAAAGACACTAACACAGCCGCACACATAACACACAGCACATGTAATAAATTATTAGCTCAACTTAACGACTCTGACATACCAAACAACATTGCGTAATGATTTTGGGACTGCTGAAGAGTAGATAGCCAAATCACCATACAAATATGTGCATATATTAATATAGAAAAGAATATTCCCGATCTTCCCGAAATACATCAAAGACATTTGACCCTGAAACATATGAAATGCAATCCAACCGAAATTACAAGCTCATATTTCTCAGTGATTTGAAAGTCTTCTGAATTAATCCTAAAACTGGCACCATCTTCGTGAAATTTGTAAGTTACTACTGTACATACCGTTAGATGTCTCGTCAATGATGCGCTCGCTGTCTTCATGGTCTTCATTTCGCTAAAGTTGAGTTAGTAACGAAAGTGAATTGAACTTGCGAACAAGGTTTGTCCCCTTCAGTTTTTGCAAACCATTAGTTATTGATAGTGCCTCGATCACGAATGTAAATGTTAAAAAACTACAGTTAACTAATTATTAAATGTTACCTTAAGAAACATAGAGTAATAATTACACAGACAGAAATAACCCATCCCGCTTGTTGAAAGGCAGCTGGGAGAGTTAATACTCCAGTACCAACTATAACATTGAACAAAAATATGAAGCCAGTCTACACATAAGCATTCAAGAGGCAGTGACTAACGAGAGAAGAGTAAACACTTCGACCTGGAACTTCATGACTCGCCATTTTCAGTTATTTTTTTTGCCCCCTCTGACCTTGGGCGCTCGTAATTGTGCACGACCTTGAAAAAGCCAAATTCATGCGTTCGAAGCAGACTGATTATTTCGCGACTGAATAATATAATTCGGAGGAACACTGAATTTTCAAAATATTCAGCGAAGTTAGATTTTATGCACAGAAGAGGTGTAAACATGCCAGTAACCCTGAAGGGAGCAATAGTGCCTAAAGGCAAATTTTGTCTTTATATTCCATTCTTTCTCTAACCTTAACCCAGTCTGCCTCGAGCAGCCACAATGTCCCCCTAATTGGATTATTCTAACTCAGCCTGTTTCCTGCCTTCACATAACTTTTATCTTCCTCGATCCTAACGCTGCTGCGAAGCCCTAGCAAACCGGCTGTTCAATGATCGCTGCAGTAGAACTGAGTTCCGTATGGAAGACTCTAGTGCCATGCTAAGTGGGGTATTAAAGCTTTTTGGCTGTGGGGGTCTTTCGTCGCAGGAGAGGAGCAATTGTTTCTCAGATACCGATGATGCGGCTAACTTCATTGATAAGGCACTAAGCATTCTCGATGTGTCACTATCAGGGTGTGAGAGCACTTCAGTATATGTGAGAATCAACCATATCTCAGGCACCCAACCTGTGAAAAACAGTACCAGGGAAATTCGCTGTAGCCAGAAGACAACTCTCTAGAAGTCAGAATACTACTTTACGTATATAATGGTCAACTCGATTTCAACGCAAGCGGTATTAAAAGACGGATGGTAAGTTAGGGATTTATTGATTGACCAAGTACAGACCAATAAAGTAAGTTAATTAAACATCAGCTCAACCATGTGGTTCACAGCTGCTTACCGCAAATACACTAAAAACATCTACAAGTAATATCAGTATAATATCCATTACTACTTCTGATCGTATTTCTATAGTCTTCTGTCAACAAGTAGACGTCTGATTCCCGACAGGGATTGCTGCCTCCAACTAACAGGAAACGGGGTCGAATAAACACGTTCGTTGAACGTCCAATCAAATTTTACTACCACCAACACACTCTGTCCCTACTATGCACGGTCAGCCCTTCAGTACCCGTAATGAAAAGCCCATAGACAACTCTCACACCAACTCCCCTATTGCTGCCAAGAGAAAAGGCGTAGCAGAGGTCGAAAACTCGCAGTTAAAGCCGCCCTCAAACTTGTACATTAAGCCTCACCCACGCAAGTGGGTAGTCGGAAGCCACAACCAACAACAGATGGTGAAGTGGATGTCAGTGAATAGCGTAATATGGGCTCCCGCAGTTAGCGAGACTGAGCTACTATAAGACAGACACCGTCCTCGACGAATTCAAAGGCATCTTCACAGAGAAGTAAGAAAGCTGCCCCGAAAGAACCTGATCTCTCCAGCAGCTCACCGATCCACCACAAAGGGGAACAATCTGTGGCTTCGGATCCCGAAACCACGTTTGAACGTGACCTCAACCTAATCAAACCGATCTTAGATAAGTTACTGCCAACAACCGTATTAGGTGTAACTATCCACAACTTGCATAGAATTGTCCAAAACTCCTACTCTACAGTTAACAAGCTAGTAGGCCTTCTCAGAGTCGTAATAAACTCAGAAACAGAGGGAGATGCTACAGTCAGAAACTTCCAAACTCTTAAAGGATCAGACATATACGTTAGTGATGGCTTATGCCTTGCAGACCGTATCAGAAGACGCCTGTGACTCAAGAAATAGGCGAACAGGACCGAAACGACAAGAAACATCCTACGATTCAGGGATTACAAGTTGTTAAAGTTCGAAGTTTCATGATCCCAAAACCACTGTGGGTGGAGCGCAGATATACCAAACTGAGGTAACAGCTTGTTGCACAGATGACCTCAATTTTTTGAACAAATTGCCTAAAAGGATTATATAGTTGACTCCGGAAACCCTAACACCATTATCATTACAGATATATGGCTCACTTCCGACGTCACCAATAACGAAGTTAACCTAAAAAACTTCACAATGCATAAAGCAGACCAACTGAGTCGCAAACAGGATGCCGTAGTCATCTTTCTCAAGAAATGCTTAACTGTGAGTAGTACTGGAGCTCTCGCACATGAAAATGGAACACACAAACTTCTACACTGCAGAATAAAATGCATAGGCCAAGATAATGACCTCATGGCCATGCATTGCAGTCCAGACTGTGACTCAGATGACTTCCTAATAAAGAAGCTATGCTCACAGACATCCAAATATTGGAGTCTTGTAGTCCGTGGCTTCAACGCTTCAACAGTTAACATGGTAAGCCTTATAGAACTCTCCAGCCAAAAACTGCTGTAATCTAGTATTTCGCTAGCCCTCACATGCGCTGTGACTCACAGCACTCCTCCTTAACTTTGGGCATGGTTTTCTGCAGTGGTGAGAGTGCGGACCTCATTCAGCATCTTCTTTTCTTAGGAAGAGGTGATCACACTGTATTCACTTTCAAGTTCATAGCAGTGGTATCATTGACCAGACCCACAACTTAACCAAACCTTTGGAAGTCTGAGGTAAAAACGCCATCGTCTCAGTTGCCAAATCACTGAACTTGCACATAAATCCAGAGTCCCGAGTGGGAGCCACATGGAACCAATTAAAGCAGCTTTCTGTCCGGTTAACAGAATCTTCCATTCCTTGGTATGTCCTGAGGGGTAGGAAACATTGTTTCCCCTGGATAAACTGAGAGATTTGTAGATTACCCAGGAATGAGCTTAAATGCTGGAAGCTGTTTATTACACATAAGACACCTGAGACAAGAAAATTAAACGTTGTCTCTAGTGAAAAAGTTATTGCAGAAGTCCGTCAATCAAGGACGAAGTTTTAAATGCTTCTGGCTCAAAGAAAATTGTACAGCCTAAAAAATGTTTTCGTACATGAACTTCAGGTATAAGACTCCCAGTAGGACCTTAAATCTGACTGTTGATAGTAGTACAATCGAAGGGGATCAAGAAATGCAGAAGAAACGACAAACTACTTCTCTAAAATCTTCACACAGGAATTGCCGCTCCCAATAGGATCAGTCCTGGTAGCATCAGAGGATCACAGGATAGACGTCACTGACATCGTCCAAGACTTCGTGTCCAACTGCCTGAAGAGACTGGATTCAGGGAAATCAATGGGTCGTGACAATTTTCACCCAAGGCTTCTCAAGGAGCTACCACCAAACATACCCCGTCGACCACGATCTTCAAGCCATGTTTCCTAAATGGAGTGTCACCGTGTGACTGGAAAGGCGCCACACTAATATCCATCCACAAATTAGGCCCAGGGCATTGCCCTTCAAACTACAAGCCTATTAGTCTCAACAGCACCTTAATTAGTATGCTTGAAAGAATCAGCAAGAAAGCTATCATGGCATAGCTGGAGAACAACAGCTTGTTGTCTATAGCAAGGTATGGCTTCCCAGAAAACCTCTCATATCTGCCAAACCTTCCTACTGCAAGAGAAAGCTAGGTGAAGTCAAGGGACAACAGAAGGCCCGCCAACATCGTCTTCACAGACCTCAGCAAGGTCCTCGATAAAGTACGTCATAAAAGACTGCTCGCGAAATTTGGAAGTCTTGCTATTAAAGACGGCTTACTAAACTGGATTAGGGAATTCCTCTTAGGTAGGAAACAGGGAGTCATCATCAACTCGAAACTCTCCTCCTGTACAACAGTACGTAGTGGAGTGCACAAGGAATGGTACTCGGGACCCTCTTATTTATATTGTATATCACTGAGTTATCTATGTTCATGGATTCCCTAACGATCCTATACGCAGATGACTCGAAAACCTGGAGAAAGCTGTAGTGTGATAGTTATACGCTCGTGTTGCAGGGAGACCTCAGCAAATTACTAGACTCGTCCAAAGAATGGATGCTGCCGACCAACGTGGCGAGATGTGCAACCGTGCGCGTTGGACATTTAAGTGTCAGCTTCTATGAATGAGAGGGAAAAGCACTTCATCAGTTTAAACTCATTTGGATTTAGGTGTCATAGTAAGTCACGGTTTAGAAACAGAAGCACTTTGCCATTCGGTGGCTGCACGTACTTTCATATCTTTATGGCCGAGTCACAGAGCTTATACTAGAATCACCAGTGATATATTCACCTCTTTATATAATAATAATATATTCTCATTTTTGCACATGAGGGACGCCAGTTTACAGGCATCACCAATATAATAAATTATACACGATTAGTAAGCATAGTTAGTGATGATAATATAATAAGGTACATATTTATTCCTACCTATGTAGGACACACCAATTGTACAGGCTGGATAAGTATTATTTAAACCACATGGTTTACAGTTAAATTACATAGTTGCTGTCATTTTGTCTTTAGTTTTTGGGGACAATCCGATAACTAGTGATTCAATGAACCACATCAAGAGATATAGAGGTTTTGACTTCGCATTAACAAAAACGCCCAAGCATGTGTTGGATGGATTACAGATTATTAGGGGAAACAATAAAGCTCGAAGTCAATTCCCTCATATAACAATGAAATGCATCTTATAATAATATATTTTCACTTTATGCACATGAGTGACTCCATTTGACAGACATCATCAATATGATAGTAATGTACATATGGAGTAAGCATATTTACAATTTTTCACTGACACAAGATATATATACAAGGCAAGATAATGGAATAATGACAGTAAGCACACTTTGCATACGGTGAAACCGGAGAATGGTATTTTTAGCCTACAGTGTGTAACCAAATGATATTCAATTTCTTGCCAACATTTTGATTATGCACGCGTCACTCCAGGGTTAATCCGATTGCCATGAACGCAGAGACGCCTAAATAACAGTATCTGCCACCGAATACTGGTACTTCCTAATTTATTACCTATTTCAGAAGTAAGGGTGTAACGGGAGAGAGTTCGTAAAAGGCCTTTATAACGGAGGAAAATCACACCATTCACATACATTCTTAGTCACATTAAAAGTTGGTTAGGTTTGCAAATACCAAACTGTCTTGATAGGTTATTGGTAATCTGAAAGTTAAACATTGAGATGAAGAGTTGTCTATGTTAACGTACTGTTCTGGTTGACAATTGATTTATTGAAGGTTAATAATAATGTATATTTTCATATAAACATATAAATTTTAATGAAAATGCATGCCATTTTCACAGGCACGATCAAGTATGATATAATCTCAAATCGTAGACTGTCTGATTGGTTGATGATTCCCTGAAGGCTAAACCCTGAGATTATTTCCTGACTACGGCGTAAGCTATATGAAGATTTGAGAACTAACGTTTCTGATTCCGTAGCCACTGGCTTATATCGTTGTTTTGAGTTTTGCCTAGTTCCTATTTATCTGCGCTTATCTACTACCGATGATTCTTGTCAGCAGCACACGCCACTTGAGTTTTGTTCGCCAGATTACTAACACATGAGATGATACTTCATTAGATAACTTCGACTGTTGTTACTTCGTGTTTTGCTAAGAAAGAACCTAAGTAAGCCACGGGAAATGCACCTGACTGAAATTTGAAAATTGGAGTAGTAACAGGTGGTCTATCAGTTCCGCACTGTATATGGTTCATTAAATTGACACATTTTTAGAAGGCTGCTAAAGAATTTTATTAACAGTTGCCTTTGCCCGATGCTGAAGATCATATGGATAAGCAGAGTGGATAAACGGCAAGGAACTCTCTTAAAGAACCAATCAAAATACTACTGGCACAGTGGTTAGGACTCTCGCCGACCATGCACATGGTCCGGGGTTCGATCCTCTGCCGACGCACACCTGATATCTATGGTCGGCCTGCAAAATTCGGGCTACCGATATCACATGCTAAAAATTCCATACCTGTACCATAAATACGGTGTGGAATCAAGCTGTAATCAAAAATAAAAAAATAATAAAAATATATGCGTATGAGTATGAAATGCCCTACCCGACAGTAATTTCCGAATACCAGATTTATTTTGCACACAGTCATTTGCCTTCGTTGCTGGTTGATTAGGAAGTGTTTCCAATAAATAAATAAGAATATGAAGAAGCAGTAGTTATATTATACTGAAGTAGTGGTTTAATGACCATATTAATTGGTGAAACAATTCATAATTCAGTAAACAATCATAACGCATCATAACTGACTGGCGTACAAATGAAATGGAAAAGTCTAGTATAACACGTGGGAAAACTGAGAAATCAAGGTTCTCCTGACATCAGTCATAGATTTTGTGAAAGAATATAACACACGGCCAATTCATGAATTTATTTTGATCTCCGTTATTTCTATGAACCCTAAATTCGTTTACTGATATAGGTTGATTAGGTGACAAATAACTCTAGATTATGACAATACAATGTGGTAAGACTTAGTGACACGAGAACAGGAAAGTATTCATTTCAGTACCATTATGCAGTCGTGACTTTCCTTTGCATCTTAAAGATGACTAATTAATTGACCATTGTTTTTTTTACTGTATCTTTTCTCCAACAATTGAACCCAACAATGCTTCGTTTTATTTGCAGAGAAGGAAATCCAAGGAATTACGGTTCAGCCAAACACTTCGCGCCCATGTGAACGTTCCAATCTTACCACTTAATATTTCGGAACAGCGCATTTAAGCGAACAATGTCATTTTCAGTTAGATCCCATCAGGAGTAACTCGAATGTACATAATCTTACAAATAGATAATAAAACGCAAATCAGTCAGTAAATAGGATGGTAAGACTGTGCATGTGAATTGTGCAGTTAGCCACAATAATAATGGTTCCGTCAATAGCGAAAATGAAAACTTTAGAGCGACCTGTGATAACAAGATTGACGAAAAGCACCATGAATAAACAAACGAATTTTCAGGTAGAAATAGTCAATATAGGCTTAGGAAAACAAATGGTTGATTTAAGCATTACCAGATGGTAAAAGAAAAAAGCAAGCTGCTTCTTACTGAAGATGTAATGATATTAAGCGGGGATAGGAAGCGGACTGAAAATATAAGTAAGGGGTGGTGCTAACGTCGTAAGCTGGTTAGGTCTTAATAAACCAAGGGCGGAATAATAGCTGTATTAAGTTCTTCTGGATGCATAGTTTTGGCTTAATAGTTCGGATGCTATCGCCTCACCTATATGCAATATACGAATACTAAGTCCACTGAGAAGATTAGGTGGGATGTCATGCATCATCTAGGGTGCTTTCGTTGTCAGAGATTACTGCACATTTTTATCTTTGTTATTGATGGAACCATTATGATTATTACTAGCATTATTATTGTAGCCGATTTCACAATTTATTTGCAAAATCCCATCATCCTATTTACTGATTGATCTGTACTGTATTTATTAGTAAGATTATGTATATTAGAGTTACGTCTGATGAAATCTAACTGAAAACAATATCGCTTGCTTAAATATGTTCTAAATTTTCTATAGGAATACTTAATGTTTCAACAGCATTGTTGCTTCCAGAACTCAGGTTTTTTTCCTATAAAATCTGTAGGGCTAGAGAGGAAGGCTTACGTCAGTAGGTGATAGGGCGCTTTCAGACATTAAGTTTTGTATACTAAAATAAAAACTGTTGAAGTCATAGAACTGTTGCTAGCTTCTTCTCATGGAACCAGAATTTTCACTTTATCAGTATTGTGTTGGCACTATGTGAGAATGCAGGCAAATACTTTACGTGTCTTGCAGCTAATTTCGTGTCTTACAGAATCATAAATGTGACTTCTCACACTCACATGTCCATGAAATACTTCGCTGAAATCAGAAGACCCAAGCAGAGTACTCAGATTATTCTTTGTAAAGATAAGAACTAAACTTCATTTCATAAATCTTATCAAGGAACGAAAACAATGATGGCCTTACGAAATAAAGTTTTCACGTCTATGTAGTTTTGTTAATCTCTTTTCAACTGAGATTGGCCACATTCAACCTTCAAGGTCATTACTGTTTACAGGTCATGGATTATAACAACTGTCAGAATTCTGATTCAGATTATCTGTCAGAGGCTGCTTTATTTTGTTCAGCGTGCAAATCACGTGAGGTCTTCGGGATACTTACGACGTGTTTGCATCTGACCTGTCAAACATGTTCTGAATTGATGCACAAAGATGATGTTTACCTATGTACTGTATGCAGTGAACGTAGCACTAAGGTAATTTCCCGGATTGTACCAATTCCTCCATTAGGTAATTAATAACCCCAACCTGTGTAGGCCAGAAAATGTCAACAAATCGCCTACATGCAATTGGTGTCATGATAATGGTGAACAAACGAAATCCGTTGGACGTTGTGAGGATTGTGGTATATGGTTGTGCGGAGAATGTCTGAAGGGCCATAACAGAATGCCACCGCTGCGTAATCACAATATTACAGTGCTTTCCAAGAGTGAACATATGGGTCAGTCAACCAATATACTAATGTTTAAGTGGTCAGGATTTTCGTTCTATAACATTTGTTTGTGACATATTTCATAACATGTACTATGCGTTCAGGTAGCGTTCGCAGGTCAACAAACCAGTATTGTTTGTGATAGTTTTCCACCAGAGTGAGGACACATGCTTTGGCTTTCAGCTTTCTGAGGACGAACGCACTTTAAACTAATGGAGGGATCTCAAGTTTGTGCCATTACTTTGAGATAAAAAATAACTGTCTTATGTTGTCTATATATTTTTCGTCTTTGATTGGACTGCTTTAAGACGCGAAATGGGATATCATTAAATGCGACTCTAAATTTTATCCAGGTAGGATTGTCAATGGTCTTTTGCATCTTACATTCAAACACATCCAGTTGTAAGACATTCTCCTTGAATATGTAGGTTATCTTACTTTCCCCTTCAACAATACTCCTTATTATTTCTGTTTTTCCTGGAGTACCTGTTGTGGGCAGAATAACGGTACTGCTTCTCTTCTCCGATCTGGGAAAGTAAAGCGAGGTAAAAACCCTAGTTTACTGATGGAAAGTCAACTGCCGAGTCGTATAGATTTTTAAAGTTCTGGCTGGTGTTCGATCTTTACAAACGAAAAACATATATGGTATTAGAGTTTGAAGTCTTTGAAATATGAAGTATGTAGCGTATAAACAAACCGTATGTGTTTTAGAGTTATTGGAAAAAAATATTTAATAATTATAAGCATATCACTAGGTCTTCATGTAATTTCATCCTTTGCATGTTCCATTCTCGTTAATTTGCTTCATGTATTTAGTGCATGGGATTTTATTAATTCTTGCTTGTCTCCATCAAAGTACATTTGCTTTTTCTATATAACAATGCGTAATTGTTTAACACTATCTACTCATTTATAGGCTCACTTCGTTGTGAAGCACATCCAAACGAAGCACTTGAATGCTTTTGTGAAGCTTGTGGAATGTTAACTTGTCGTGACTGTCAGTTGTCAGTTCACAGGGACCATGGAAGCCATCGATGGGTTGGAGAAAAAGCAGTTCAGTTAAAGATCCCTCTAGAGGAACGTGTCCAAGAACTTAAAAAGTCCGGTGAAAAGTTGTTTTCAATTCTTGCACATACTAACAGTGCTCGTATATGTACTCCAGAAGATAGTTTTATGTCGAGCGTAGAGAAAACCCGTCAAGATATTAAATCACGAACAGCTTCCCTTATTGATTGCATTCGAGTTCGATCTGAGTGTCTTTTAAACGAGCTTGATAAGAAGATGGATATGTACGCTGGTCGACTACAGGATACAGAGGCTTTAGTAACTAAACTCCAGGTATGTTATTGACAAATGGGTTGGTCTTCTTTCATTGTTATAGTAGTTGTGAGTTGAATATTTCATAAATGAGTCACTTGTATGGCGGTTATATTTACGGCTTCAACTTCGCTAAGGCTTTTTAGTGGTGTGTGCTTGTGAGCAATCCAAATGGTTTTCACTTGAAGTATACATAAAGGTCTGTAGTTGACTTGCGGTCCTTGGCAGAGTTGAGAAGTCTTCAGATAAGCTGGAATCAAGTTCTCTTATGCTATCACCAGTTATTCTTTTGGGATAACTATAAAAATTTTTGAGTTTCAATGCAGTATTAATTATGTTGTAAGAGTTGGATGTGGTTCTTTGTGATTGATCTCGATAGTCAATTGTCATGCAGGCTTTAGACCAGGAAGTGTGTATTGATCATATCTTCACCCTTCGACAGATTCTAGAACATAGGTATTCTTACCGGCGTCCAACAATCATTATGTTTCTTGACCTAAAGGCGGCATTAGATTCTGTCGACCGAGAGGTACCCTGTCGATGCTTGGCTCTAAAGGGAATGCCGAGAAAATACATTGCATTGATCAAGGCACTCTACTCGAACTCATGCAGCCAGGTGAGAGCTTACTGCGAGTTTTCATCTGAAGCTCTGACAACTAGTAGTGTCCATCAGGTATGCCCACTATCCCCATTTCTATTCAATTTTATGATAGATGTACCAATGAACTTAACTGTAAGTGACTTCAGCGACTCTGGGATTGACTTGTTTCTAGGGAATAATCTCGTTGACTTAGAATATGCAGGTGATATAGTCCTTCTAGGCGAGGACGCCGACAAAATGCAGTCTTCTGAACACCTTGAGCTGCAATCTACGAATGTTTGGCATGCGATTCGCTCGTGCTATCAAATGTAAGATGATGTTCCAGGACTGGACTACACTGACTCCTAGTTTAGAAATACGGAGTGAAGTGGTGGCTGAGATCGGTGACCACTTCACTTATTTGGGAAGTACCATCAGCCCCAACGGGTTGATCTCTGACGAAATCTCCGCACGGATACAGAGAGTTAGTTTCGCATATACCAGTTTACGCCGCCTCCGGCGTAAACGTGATATCCGACTGGTTATCGACCAAAGAGCGGTTGTACTGCTCAGGAGTCCGCTCCGTCCTCCTTTATGGCTGTGAGACCTGACCATTGAGAGTGGAAGACATGAAAAGGCTGGTTAACTGTCTTTGATCATAGGTGCCTGGGTTCTATCTCCCATGTGAAGTGGTATAATAAGGTGAGCAATATTGAGGTCAGGCGTCGAGTCCTAGGTAAGGAGGGGAAATCAATAGACGAGGCCGTGAAATTACATCGACTGAGATGGTTAGGACATGTATTACGTATGCCTAGCCATCGCCTTCCTCGACGGGCAATGTTAGCTGACATAGGGTCAGGCTGGAAAAGAGCTAGCGGCGTTCAAACCAAAACATGGCACCAGTCAATGAAATCCACAACAGTTAGTCTAAGCCACGTAGGAAGGTGTAGACTTCCTGACTGGTTGGGGTCCTCAGGACGGTAAAAGCCTCAAAATCGTTCTCAATGGCGCAGATACATCCACTCCTTGTGACTTATGATTTCCAATGAAACTATATTGTTCTTCGTTATTACTACCCCTTTGTCTTACACCTCTGTTTACTGTCTCTAGTATGAATTTCTTCTAATTTCTTCTCATGCTTTGTGTGCTACATGGAGTGTGGCGACTTGAACTGCCGCACATCGGTGCAAAGTTCTATGTCGAAAACAGACGGACAGTCAATTGTCCTTCAACTGTTCTTGTTTGCGTATCAGGAGAAGCCTTCGCTAAGCAGGTTCATTCCTGGAAATATAAAGTAGGAAATTATAGTCTATACATTACCTCTGTGATTCGTAGTGAATTCTACACTATGTTTTTATCTCCATCCTGCTGGAAGTTGTGCAAAGTTGAACCTTGTAAAATAAGGCTTTCAATTAGTTTATGTTATATGCAAGCTTAACTAGTTCTTCAAGATGACAGACATTAGTTGTAATTTGAAGGGTTTATAGATACTTTTATTTACCTCCACATACTTTTATTAATTGCTGTCCATTTTGAACTTCTTTTACATGAAATAGGATATTCTTATTGATTCTTTTTATATATTACTGCTAAGTAAATAGTGATGGGCGTCAAGATGGTTTAATTACTACTTTATTCATGTTTTTTTGTCACTCCAAAGGAACAAATCAACTTTGTATCAGCCTTTTCAAATCATCTCATCAACAATGTCGACAACGATCCTGCTAGTTTGGTACAACTTTATGAAATTGTCAAACTAAGACTTGATTTACTTCAAATTATCTCTGAACGAATTTTGAATGACTCAGCATCTCTTAGCGATTCAGTGGATCAGAAGTTAAAGGATCAAATAAAGGAGTCAAGTTTATGGACTGATAATGTAGTTGGCTGGCGTACTGTAGTTAACACTCGGGCATTATTCCTTGGTAACTGGGACGCTGAAGAATTGTGCCGATATTCTGGAACAATAGCTTGGTTACCCAAACAAACCGATGTTAATATTCCTCATAAGAATAGCGATCAAATTGTTGAGAATCAGGCAACTGTGAAAGTAGAAAACGTAAGCTTTAAACAGAGAATTTTTTCCGTTGTATTCATAATTAACTGTGCATTTTAGGATACATACGATAGAATTCAGTCTGAACCAAACAAAGGATCATACTCATGGCACCAGCTGGCACCTAGTGTCCAATGAAAGTATCCACTGCAGTCCTGTAAGAGGTTTGTCGCGAGCCTGAATAGCTCAGTGATAACGTCTCTGACTGCAGCACTGGGTGATTTAAGTTCGAATCTCAGGAGGGACATGGGGTCCTCCGAGACTGTAGAAACGCCCTGCTGATGAGTGCCAACAAGCACGAAACCTATGTTGAAGGCTTCCTGCTGATTGCCTCCAGCCATCTAATAACAACAATTCAGAGTGCACTTCCTGGACTGGTAGTCATATTGCAAACTTGACTGATAGAATTCAGTCTGCACCAAACAAAGGATTAGACGCATGATAGTAGTTACTACCTAGTTTCCAATCAAAGTACATACGATCTGTTTGAAAAATACCGATTGGAACATTAAAGAAGGAGGATCAAGTAGTTTAGTGAAGACTTTCTTCAGTGGCTTCATATATTAATGAGCTGTACAATCGCGATTATATGTGGTGTATTTACTAGACATGAACTCATTGAAAAGAGACTCTTTTCTTAACTACTTGCTCTTCTCTTTTTAACATACATTTTTTTTCCACGTAGGGTTTAAAGTACTAGATTTTTGAGTGAGTTTTATTTTTCAGGACTAAGTATTTATTTTTGGGTTAAGTTGCACATAACTGGTGAGTGTTCATTTTTCCGTTATACTCAGCTAGTAGTAATTATTTGAACAAGATGTGGAGTAGAAATGATTTGTGAGGTGATGTCACCTCTTGGTTGCTCCACAATCATGCTGTATTTAGCATGTTTGACAATAATAATAATAATAATAATGTTTGACAATTAATTAAGCTTATGAGCTATAGGTATTAATAACTAATAATTTAATAGGTCGACTGATTGAATTGTTTTATCCCTTTATGTTTTTGGTTCTGCGAGTGGCTTAAAGTAAACACTGTCAGTATTTTGTGCAAATCTACCTATATTTTTTTTTATAAATTAGCCCAATATATTTGGGAAAGACTTTTAAACTGACTTTTTAATCACGTGGTTTCGCCGTCAGACAGTGCCAAAAATCCGGAGTACATTGGTCTTCAGTTTATAATATTGATATTTTGGAAAAGTGTTTTTATGACAGTTTATGAATTAAAATGTTACTTGAGTGTGAGTAAGGTCGCCAAGTTCACACTAGTGGCAAAGATAATAGTAACGATAAGCGTTTTTAGGTCATCTTTCTTGTCTTATGTATTTTGGTGAATAAGTTTGATTCCGACACATGGCTCTTTTTTGTATCTGCTAGTAACTGGGGGGGGGGGTGAAGTATGCTCAGAATAAGGTACCATTTCCACTTAAATTACAGACGAGCTGAAATAAGTTACTTACGAAGACACCTACCAGAGTGACTTTCAAAAACTATGATAAATTTTATTCCTGATAGGTTATAATAACTAGTCCTGAATTGTATTTTAAACTGACTCGCTAACTTCGAAGTCAAATTACTGCATCATCTGTGCAGAATTTGAACTGATCGTCTTTAGTAGTTGTGATCTTGGTGACATAGTTCACAAAAACCAATGGTTTCTCACTAGGATACAGTTTTATTCAGCGAAAGTATATTGTGAAATTTATACACAATTAGTTTACAACAACTAAAAATTCATTAATAATTAGATAGTCTTCAATAGAGTTACATCGTCTTAGCAGCGTGCACTCTCGACTTATGTATGAGGTCTGATTTAAGACTGTTAAGCCTTGAGGGAAATTTATTATCATTATCTTTTTTTAGTGTACAATGTTGTAGAGAAATACTTGATTATTTTCCACTTTGCGTTTTGCTGTCTATGCTACAAAAGTACAAATTTTTGTGTGTGTTTTAGGGCTTGGCAAAAGCAGATAATATGACAACAAACCAGTCTACAACAGATACTAATGACTTCCTGGACTCTTTAGCAGAATTGGATGGTGATAAATTGACAAGTAGAGATAATGGTGAATCCTTGCTTGGATCAGCGGGTTGTGCTATCTGTTTCGGAGTTGGACTACTTGCTCATTGTGGACAGTGTAATCGGGCTTATCATTTGGACTGTCACTTACCTCGTATAGATAGTATATCCCTAACTAGTGATTGGCTATGTGTTTTGTGTGCTGATGCTACTGATGAAACTCCGTCGACTACTCAATCATTGAAGAATGGATTTTCTTGGGATGATTATATGGTGAGTAACTTGTGATGAATATGTTTTTTCCTTCTTTTTGATAGTGTTTCTGTCTGTAATTGGATATGAATGTGAAAGTTTTCCTATATATGTTGGAGTAAATGAATACTGTTTAAGATGTTATGTATATTGAATTACATTCTCTCAATATTTCTTCCATTTTATAGACAGGATGTCGAATCCTAACAAGTTTACTTGTTCACTCTGACGCTGTTCATTTTACTGCATCAATCTGTCCATCCTGTTCCATTTCATTAATATCTCCTAGACGATCTGTACCACATTGTTCAGCAGGTCACTTGTATCATCGACTTGCAGAACTTCGTTTGTTTTTGGAGGAAACAGTATCTTCAGTTTCTAATGGTCATTGTGATCCAGCCTCCAGTCTTAACTCCTGCAGTGGTCAATCACGTTATACTTGTTTTAGTGACTGGCTTATAGAATTAGACAACTTTTTGTCAGATGCTGCCAAAGAAACTGAGGTAAGTGTCGTAATGAAGTGTATTTAAATATTAGTGTTAAGGAGTGAAAGTATTCATTCATTGACCTCTGACCTTATATTTTTTATGTTACTACTACTAGTTATTCTTGACATTTAGTAAATAATGCAAGTACCGATTTCTTAATATCTACTTTGATAATAAGTGAAAATAAAGGGATTACTGCGAACGACTTGAATAATAATAATAATAATAATAATCTACTTTATTCCAAAAACAGTACTTATAATACAGAATGGAATTCTCAGCATTTGTCACAATATTGCATCTGATTTACTCAAAATATCAATAAAATTAAAAATTGAAACAAAATTAACCAGAGAAATTTGTCCACATTTACTATATAAAGTCAAAAATATTCGAAGTACGAATTGAGAATATTAAATATAATAATAATAATAACAGTGAGTATGTTTCAAACACTATTGGCGATTCAGTTTGAAAATTTTAGCATACTATAGATTATTGAATCTAATGTTCTGTTGATGTAGTATAGTGAGGGGAAAGGCAAAATTAACAGTTATAACACAGCTTAAATGATGTTCACACTTATGAGAAAATAAACAAATAAAAACAAAAAAATTGAGAAGATTAAAAATATAAGTACAATAGCAATAAAGGATGATGTGGTAAAGGGTGAGGGAAATTTTTTATTTAGCAGTGGAAAGAAAGTTAGTTAGTTCATGCCTGACACTGTTTTCATCACATAAAGTACGTGCTGACAAATATGGTATAGTGGAATTTTTATACGTAGATGTGCGTGCATAAAGTCTTCTGAAAAGACTTCTTGTTTTACCTGAGGAGACACAAGGATGGAGCTGCGGGTAAAGTGGATGCTCACAGTCTGACAAAATCCCTTTAGCGAATTTATTGCATAACATCAAGTGCCTGTCAATGACAATGTCAACGATATCGCCCAATGGGATATCACTCCCCCTACTGACAGTCTTCAGAGTTCTACGAAGTATGACATTGTCTTTTTTAAGCAATCCAGGAAAGAATAAGGATAAACAGTAAAGAAGAATAGGTAAGATGCACGAGTTCACAAACTGTAAGAAGAGGAGGGGTTGGGTTATGCCTGAGTGTCTTAACTTCTTAATGTAAAAAAGTCAGACGAAATATTCTTTTAGAAATCACCAAGACATGAGAAGACCAGGACAGGTCAGAAGAAAGAATTAATCCAAGATACTTAACTTCAGACTTGGTTTCTATGTCACTATCATCAATTTTGCAACGGTCATAGGAACCAATGGCTTCATTTAACTTTCGTTTACATCGGAAACTGAAATTAGCGGTCTGACCTTTGGAAGGATTTAGTTTAAGGCCGTTAGACGAAGACCATTTGCTAATTCCTGATAGAAAGCTGTTCATTTTAGTACTATCTAGCTGGGAATTACCAGACATTGAAATAGTTAGATCATCTGCATACTTAACAAGTGAGGCCTGGGATCCAAACACACCGGCCTGCCCAGAAGTTTGTTGGCAGATGTATATTATTAAAAGGAAGTTAATTTTATTGACCAATAGATGCTCGCTATTACTATTATTCCCTTGGGTTCCGAGTCCTCTTTGGCTGACTCCACGATTACCCAGAAGCTCTCATCTCCTCTTCACACTGCCTCTATGTCTCTCGGATGCCCAACTCTCCGTGACCCATTCGGCTTCATCTCGAGGGTCTGGCGTGCGGTGTCATTCAACGAGGTTCTTATAGTGTGTGTCGGGTTAATCTACATTTTCTCCAGCATATTTCTTGAGCAGTAGGTTCTTGATTTGTTAGTTTCCAGAATTCCTTGTTGCTTATCTTTTCTGGCTACCTGGTCTTGATTATTTGAGTAAATGGGGTAGGTACTGATAAAATGTTTTCAGCCTGTTGGAAGTGCTCTGTTTTGACTTACGCATCAAGTTTATGAACCGCATAAAAGCATTGACTTGACGTGAGTGTTGTAAACTCTGATCTCATTGCTTATGTGGTGAATGCAGTTGATTTCCACACCGATTTCAGATTAGTTAAGTTCTGTTTTGCTTTCCCGATCCTGACTTTGATACCCTTCATCCTTGCCGCCTTTAGCTGGAACAGTACTGCTTAGATAAGTGAGAGGTAACTTCCTTCAGATTTATTCCAATGATAGTGATTGGCGCTAGCTGTTGTTGGTTAGGTATACAGGGTGGCATACACTAACACGAGCCAAATCTTGCGCCAACACAACTTTGGTTTAGCCGTAAAACGTCGGGTTTTTCAATAATTCGGTACAAACAGTTTCTCTGTATGTGTGAGAAATATGACCTGTTTAAGCTGAAGAGCTGTGGCAACTTAGCATGTTCGATCATCGCCATCCTTCTAGGACTGCGTGCCATATATGTGACTCTGAGGTTCAACATACTGTAGATTGTCGTTCAATAAGTGATATTGTCTTGAAACCCCTTCAGTGCCTCGGATATGTGGTACAAATATCATCACTGTGGCGCTCATATACTGTTGGCCGTTTGCTAGTCCTGGGACTGAATGAAATAGGCAAATATTATGAGCATCATTTGACGTGGTATAATAACAGTATTGTTTTAATGTTTTGTGTGATATATCTGCTTGTGCCCACAACGTACTAAATTTGTGTATTAAATAAATAACAAATAATACATGGCTAATATCTTAATTGTATTCCGCAAAACCATTAATTCGTCATTGGGAGTTCGCAGATTTTATCAAAGTATGCGATTTTAAATTGTAAAACCATGACTTTAATGAGATAACGAATGTAGATTGCACTCGGAATATTCGCCTTTCCAGCTCCAAGAGTAATGAGTACACGTACATATGTTCACGTATAGTTTTCTTAGAGGGAACAATCGCCGAGTCTTTGGCTTCAAGTTTGATCCACAAGCCAGTAGAGCAAGCATCAACACAGGTTCATACACCATTCGATCCGTTCAGATTATGGAGCCCATGTACACCATAGATTTGGAATGAAAGGTTTCCCGCCTCCCCTAGGTGTAGACTAGCATGTCTACCAGTTCGGTTGTAAGCTCCAAACGTTCTCACTGACCCTTTCACTCTTGCTAAGGTCGTCAACAGGTCTTGCCTCTGTCGGAGGCTATGAACACTTCGCACATGAGTGGATTTTGAGAGGAAAACCAAGATCAACCCACTCTCGGTCATACCAGATAGTTTATGAAGGCATGTAATAGTTAGGAGTGTGGGAGTGTAAAATGTTTTGAAAATTCATTTGCGCTTTATTTCTAAAGTTGCAGCTCGAACTGTATACAAAATTTTCTACAACATAAGTTTAACAGTTTCTGAATCAATTTAGTAATTTGCAAATTAATTCTCCGTCTGAAATTTACACATTTCAAGGTGAAATTTTCTTTAGAAAGGGGGGGGGATACACAGATCATAATATGTGATCTGCTCGAGAGAATAAGTGGCGATCAAAATCGACAGGGATAAATGCATGATACTTTATGCTACTACTGACTGATCGATATAATTAGTTGGGTACCACTCACATCAACCAGTAGTGCTTGCTAACCAGAACGGGGTGATCTGATGGTTTCTGATGTACAGGATTATGATTTTATCTGTAAATGAAACAAGTATCCTTCAGATGAACACAGTTAATAGCTTATTTTGAATGACTAATGGAGTTCAGTCTACACCAACCAACACTGAGGACTAGACACATGAGTCTGTTTATCTGGGTAGTTGTGTGAATGCTGGCAGAGGGGTGACGGATGAGATTTCCAAACGTATCATGAAAGCTAGGGTGACATACATCAACTTAAGCCACTTCTGGCGCCGTTGCGACGTTAGCCTGGTTGTCAAAGGCCGGGTATACAGTGCTTCAGTGCGGGCTGTCTTGCTCTAAGCCTGTGAAACTTGGCCTCTCCGAGTTGAGGATGTGCAGCGGCTCTGCATATTCGATCATCGCTATCTCCGCAGGATTGCTTGCGTTCGATGGCATCATCGCGTGAGTAATTCTGAGGTTCGGTGGTGTGTGTGTGAACACAGTGGAAGTCACCATTTGTTGAGTGTCATCAGCTGGAAACACCGGCTTCGGTGACTTGGACATGTGCTGTGAATGTCATCCTAGAGGCTTCCGAACAGGTCTCTGTTCGCTAGCCCTGGGACGGGATGGAAAAGGTGGAGAGGTGGTCAGTCCATGACGTAGCGTCGTGGGACGAAGGATGTTTGTGTTAGATTAGCATCGGTTGGTGCGTCACGTCTCCCTGGTTGGAGTCCGAGAGATAGCTCGAAACGTTATCGGATATGGCCAAGAATCGTAATCAATGGCGAACGTGTTGCAATTTCCTTCTTTCTTCCCTTCCTGATGATAGTTGACGAATACTGTTTTAACTTGTTAAGTATGACTTTTCCTTCCAGATGAAGTTCTTTATCCGTTCTCTACTTATATTTTTACCTTTAATGTATGGTGTTTTATTATTATTGTGTGGCGCATCATCTTGGTGCCATTATTGTACCAAGTTTTTTCTGCGTTTAAATAAAAGACACATGACATTAGTTACTACTCAGTGTCCAATCAAAGTATCCATTACAGTCCTACTGGAGGTTAGTCTCGAGCCCAAATAGCTCAGTGGTAACGCAACTCTGCTTAACCTGAGCTGTTATCTCAGAAGGGCCGTGCACCCCTTGAAGATTACAGATACACCTTGCTCTGATGAGTGCCAACAAGCAGAGGGATGTAAGTCATGCAGGGGCTTCCTGAAGATCTCCTCCAACAATCTTACAATAATTTTGGTGACTGTATGAACTATAAGAACTCAAACCATAGTTTTTCTTATTGGTTATACCATTGTACCTTCAGATTCTTTTGTTTTATTGATTCATAATTATTAAGTACCAAGTTAACCTTGCCTCATCATCGCTTTGTCCATTTTAGGTAGTATACGGTTCTACTAAAGGCAGTTTACAAGCTGCTCGTCAACTTCGATCTCATTTAAAATCACTTGTACATGAATATAGACCAGAATTTGAAGCTATTCTATATCCATTGGCAACTTCCAATGAACCAGTGAATGATTACTCTGTTGATGCACCTATTTGTACACCGGATTCTTTAATAGCCTTATCACCTGCTCCTCTAAAAATTGAGGTAACAGACTAGTCCCATTGATGATAAGCGTACACAGCCATCAGCTTTTTTTCTTCTTTTGCATAACCCGGTTACATAATAATATACAACTCCACTCTGTGGATTTACTATTTAGTTCATATTATATAATTTACATTAACTTCTTTTCTGGTTGTCTTATTTGTGTACTATTGATGTAATTAATTGTGTTTTGTCTCATATATATATATACCCTTTTCTTTATGGGAAGGTTGGTAGGTTTTAAAGTGACTTTTTGTACACACTGCATACTTACTTGGTATTGCTGGTTTTCTACATAATAATTCCTTTTTTGTCATTTTGTCTTTTTAAATAAACAATTTTTGTTTATTTACTTATTTTTATTTACTTTTTTCTTTGCAAATTTATGGAAGTATTTGCATTTATATGTAACTGTTATTATACACTAATGGAATTTAATATCCATCCTTCTATTATTTAAAAAAAATGGCGGTTAAAATGGTTTATTACTCTGTAAGTGCGAAGATGAATCATGTCGATTCTACTTCTCACAATAGGCTTGGTTGAACTGTAAGTCATATAAATCCTGCCATTATCTATCAAACGACGTATGTACAGCACACCAGTTCTTTCTGTCCTTCTTTAAAGCTGTGTGACATTACCACTGAAAGTGAGGGATACGAAAAGGTTTGGTGTCTTGGTGACCACGGATGTTTGTGTTGTCTCTTCTGTGTGTTAAGTGGCATAATATTGAGATTAGGTGTTGAGTGGTTACTTAAGGAGAGAAAGTCAATGAATGCTGTTGTGAAGGTGAATCGATCGTAAAAATGGCTGGGACATCTGTTGCTCATGCTGGGCTTACGACCTTCTTCGACGAGAAATGTTAGCTGACATAGAGGGTTGAGTCAGAAAAGAGTTATGGGTAGTCAAACCAAAACCTGGTATCTATCCATGAAGTCTTTGACAGTTAGTTCAAGCCATGCAGAAAGGTACAGACTACCTGGGTAGGGTCGTCGAAACTCTAAGAACCAATGGTTGGGGACAACTGGTGATGTGGCTGGAAATTGTTGTCAAAGGCGCAAATGTATTTACTCTTTGTAATATGCTTTGTAATATGGGCTATGTGCATCCATTGCTGCTTCGATGTCGACGGTCGCTGAATGAAACATTTCCTTTCTATATGCTTGGAGGCCGTAAGTAAGTGACCAAGATTGTAGGACAATATCAGCGTTGCTAGTTCATGCAACCCCATGAATACTCCTCCCATGGATGACATAGCGTCATTGGAGATTGCAGGAAGACATCGATACATATCACAGTCAGTATGATCTTTGTATTATAGTTATAAGCGATAACGAATGATGTTTCTCTGGCTCAAATCTTTAATAGCGACTACTTGATGCCGGTTACATTTGGAGGTCACAAAAGCTATCTGTAATTTGAAACGAGGCAAGGCGGCAGGACCCGACGGAATTATTCCGGAGGTGTTTAAATATGGGGTGACATACTAGTATGTAGTTTAACTAAGGTACTAGGTAACGTATGGGAATCTTAGACGGTTCCATCAGATTGGGGTAAGTCACTTATTATACCAATATTCAAGAAGGGAGACAAATCCTCATGTGATAATCATAGGGGGATCAGCCTGACGAACATAGTCTCTAAAATCCTAGGCTCAGTAATCATGTACAGACTAAGCCGAACTCGGGAGGAACAAACGAGGGAAAATCAAGCGGGCTTTAGGCCAGGTAGAGGGTGCATAGATCATATCTTCACTCTCCGACAGATCCTAGAACATAGACACACTTTTAGGCGTCCAACAATTGCCATATTTCTTGACTTGAAGGCGGCCTTCGACTCCGTGGATCGAGAGGTACTATGGCAATGTTTGACTATGAAGGGAGTGCCAAGAAAGTACATTGCACTAATCAAGGCACTTTACTCAAACTCACGTAGCTGTGTAAGGGCTTATGGGGAATTGTCATCTGAATTGATAACAACCAGTGGTGTCCGTCAAGGATGTCCACTTTCCCCATTCCTGTTTAACTTCATCATAGATATGCTAATGGAAGAATCCTTAACTGAACTTAACGACTTAGAAATCGACTTGTTACCAGGGAATAGTCTTATAGACTTAGAATACGCAGACGACATAGTCCTGTTAGGGGAGGACGCTGACAAAATGCAGAGTCTTCTGAACACCTTGAGCAGCAATCTTCGTATGTTTGGCATGAGATTCGCCCCTGTGAAATGTAAGATGCTGCTACAGGACTGGGCTACGTCAACTCCTAGCTTAGTGATAGGGAGTGAAGTGATAGAACATGTTGACCACTTCACCTATTTGGGAAGTTGTATCAGCACCAACGGATTGATTGGTGACGAAATCTCAGCACGGATCCAGAAAGCTCGGACTGCTTTCGCTAACTTACACCGTCTCTGGCGTAGGCGTGACATCCGGCTGTCAACCAAGGGACGTGTATACTGCTCAGCAGTTCGTTCCGTCCTTCTCTATGGCGGTGAGACGTGGCCATTGAGAGCGGAAGACATGAAGAGATTGTCTGTTTTGACCACAGGTGTTTACGATCTCTTTCTCGCGTTAGGTGGTATAATAAGGTAAGTAATGTTGACGTTAGGCGTAGAGTGTTGGGCAAAGAGGGAAAATCACTCGAAGAGGCTATGAAGTTACATAGATTGAGATGGTTAGGTCACGTGCTGCGCATGCCTAACCATCGTCTCCCCCACCCCGACAGGCATTACTAGCTGATATAGGTGCAGGTTGGAAAAGAGTAAGTGGTGGCCAAACAAAAACTTGGCATCAATCCATGAGATCCTTGACAGTTAAACTGAGTCAGGTAGGGAGATGCAGACTTCCGGGTTGGGGCCCGCCCTCGGGACTCTAAGAATCAATGGCTGGAGACAATAGGTGACATGGCTCAAAATCGTTGTCAATGGCGCAGATGTATTCAGTCTCTATAATCTTTCATATTCCTTTCTACTATTATTCATTCTGTTTCACTCTTATACTTGCCAAAACTATTGATTCTCTTCACTCATCTTCTTGTCTACGTTTGTGTGCTATTTGGAACGTGGCAACTCGAACTGCTGCACTTCGGTGCCAAGTTCTATGTTGAATCCAGACAGACAGACAGGTTACATTTGGCCTATTTGCAAATTTAATGGGATTTCGAGTTTTGTCTCTATAGTGAAATTTACTACCGGTTATGGAATGTTGTCGGATAGGTCAGGGTGTACTGTTTCTAGGACTAACATCTCATCTATAGTTGGTTACCTTAAGGAAACGACTTACTACAGCTACACCTCTATATATGCACCAGCACTATCACTCTAGTGTTAGTAAATTACGCTATGATGGTGGCAGTTTTCAGTTTAACTGTTGTTCGTCTGGTCTTCATAGTTTTTGTAGGACCTGCAGAAATAAATTCGTTACGGCCATTTTCGGTTCTTAAGTCATTGTGACTGGTGAGCTAGACCATCATGTTAAAGACTCTACTTCTGTAAAAGTACAGGTTATTTACTTTAAGAATATGGAGTAAAAATACGATGGTTCTTCTAGTCAAAGAAAGTATATGTTCTCCAACAATCCTGGACAAGAACAACAACAACAGACAACGATCAGCATAAATGGGAGGAACCTGAAAGAAACAACCTCTTTTGCCTACCTGGGAAGCATCGTTTCAACTACAAGCGGAACTGACGAGGATATCAAAGCAAAAATCGGAAAAGCAAGACAAGCTTTCACTACTCTCAAGTCTGTGTGGAGGTCAACAACACTCAGCGTCAAAAATAAGATCCGGATTTTCAACTCCAATGTGAAGTCAGTGCTACTCACTATACGGATCAGAGACTTGCACTGCGCGTCATAAAGAGCATCTCAAACAAACTACAGACCTTCATTAACAGCTAGCTGTCTTCGCTCAATACTCAAGATCAGATGGCCGGCCAGAAAACATCAGCAACAGAGAGGGATCTCTAGCAATGAGCGAACCAACACAGCAGGAACCAATTGTGCAACAAATAGGCAGGAAGAAATGGAGGTGGATTGACCATACTCTGAGGAAACCATCAAGTGACATCACTAGACAGTCCCTTGGGTGGAAACCGAAAGGGAAGCGGCGAGTTAGTCGTCCAAGGGTAACTCGGAGGAGGTCATATGAAGAGGAGATGAAAACGTGTGGACAGACTTGGAGCCAGGTGAAGACTCTAGCAGAGAACCGAACGCAATGGAGACGTTTGGCTGAAGCCCTATGTTCCTCTAGGAATTAAAGGAAACAATAATAATAACAATCCAGCTATTCAGTTCAAATAACTACCCTGAGAGGATGAAAAAATGCAAGTATTAAAACTAAAAGAAAATCTTGACAATTGTCTTACGTCTTTAATACAGCTAGCAGTCAGAATGAGACTAGTGTCATGTACTAAATTGTTTACCTTTAAAGTTTTGGTGATGAGTAGAATTGTGTAATTGACCGATGTGCAGCAGTTCGAGTCGCCATACGTAGTACACTTAGTACACAAAGCAAGAGAAGGAAGTAAAAAGAAATGTAAAACAGAGACCTTAAACAGAAGTGTGAGGGAAAAAGAATAGTAATATGGAAGAACAATAGAGTTTTATTGGGTATGACAAATCACAAAGAGTGAATGATGCATCTGCGCCATTACTGAGAATGTCGCCAATTGTCTCCAGGCTTCGTTGGTTTTTACCATCCCAAGGACGCCAACCAGTTAGGAAGTCTACACCTCCCTACGTGGCTGGCTGACTGGCCAGCTTAAACTAACTGTTATGGATTTCACTGACTGATGAAGCCATGTTTTCGTTGAGCCACCACTAGCTCGTCTCCAACCTCATCGATGCTATGTCAGCTAACATTGCTCGTCGAGGAAGGCGATAGATTGCTAGGCATGCATTGTAGCACATGTCCTAACCATCTCGATCGATGTGACTTCACAGTCTCGTCGATTGACTTCTCCTCCTTAACTAGCACTCGACCGAAGCCTAACTTCAATATCACCCACCCTATTATACCACCTAACACGGGAGACTGAACGCAGACACCTGTGATCAAAGATAGGTAGCCGGTCTTTTCATATCTTCCACTTTCAGTGGTCATATCTCGCTCAAAGCCATGAAGGAGGACGGAGTGGACTGCTGAACAGTACGCACGCCGTTTGGTCAATAACCAGTCGGATTTCACGTCTACGTCGTAGACGGAGTAAACTGGCATTTGAGGATAAAGAGTTGATTTCCACTTCAGAGAAGATATTAGTTGTAAAATGTAGTGGGAATCGAACAGCTGTGGCAGTTCAGTAATGTGTATACCTTAGACTCTTGGCTATCACCTAGTTTTACAGTTCTCAACACTTAAAAACTAAGATATATGATCGTAAACAATCTTACATTTCCATGGTTATGCTTTTAACTTCATTACTAATTGATGTACGCTCTTGAAAATGCAGATAAATTTCACTAATGA